TAACAGCAAAGAGCAAACATTTCACTAGCTCAGTTTATGAACAAGAAATCATATTAATGATTACTGTATTTTGCAAATTCAAGCACATGTGAGAAAATGAGCAATTATTTCTGTCTCATGTGCTGTGATTAGATTGCATGCAAGCTGCAGAGATGTCTACACAACAACTGTAGTTATTTACAGTGTGGTTGGGGGAGGGCTGTACTATGTATGTGGTATATAAATACATTTAATAGTGCATTAATTTAAGCTGTTCAAGGAAGCAAGCACAACTTTGAAAAAACATTCAACAGAAGTTGGCTAGGGATCAAAACACAGCACCACAGATGCTGTTAAGTCCACTCCTTCCCTCTCTCATCTCTCTCCCCCTCTTCTCTCCCTCTCCTCCTCTTCTCTCTCCACCCCTCCCACCCTTCTACCCTCCTCCTCTCTCCCCTCTACCCCTCCTTTCCCCACCCCCCTACCCTCCTCCTCTCTCCCCCCTCCTCCTCTCTCTCCACCCCTCCTCGTCTCTCTCCCCCTCTCTCTTCACCGCTCCTCCTCTCTTTCCACCCCTCCTCTCTTTCCACCCCTCCTCCTCTCTCTCCCCCTCCGCTCTCCCCCTCTCCTCCTCTCTACCCCTCCTCTCCTCCTCTCTACCCCTCCTCTTTCTCTACCTCTTCTCTCCTCTGTCTCCCCCTCCCCACCTCCTTTAATTCAATTCAATTCAATTCAAGGTGCTTTATTAGCATGACCGATGGGTACAATCAGTGTTGCCAAAGCAAATAAAAATAATAAAATTAACATAGAACAAAACAAAACTCCTTTATCTCTCCACCTCCTACCTGTCTCTCTGCCTCTCCACCTCTCTCTCTTCCTCTTGACCTCCTCCCCTTCAATTCGCTGGAGGGATCCCCAGTCGCTACTATTTCCCACTGCCCTGCACTCAGGTGGCTTTAGTTTTTAGTTTTGTATGGATTGGTCCCCAGTCTAATTCGAACAGCAGTGTGGGACTTGACGCATTGCCTGTCCCCCACAGTACCGCAGCACAGAATTGTCAATGCCTGACAAGGCTTGCGAAAGGAAGGGGGAAAACAAGGAGTTCTAACTATTTCAGACCAGTAGAGCCAATCAGATGTATTCATGTCAGGGGAACAGATCTACACAAGACTACTACGGAGACTACAGCAGCACAGCACTACTGTTTCCTTAACCTCTAGCTATTCCTTACCCAACACAGCTTGAGCAAAGCAAGAGCCATTCTCCTTTATGTACCACAATGCCACCTGTGTTTTAGGAAGTTCTGTCTGGGCTCCACGTGGGTCGGTGCCGGGCCCAAGTTGCGCACCTGTTGTGCAAATCTGTGAAAAAGCAACATTCCTGCTCTCATTACCTGCAGTGTTGCAATGGGGAAGTGCAAATGAATCCTGACTAGGGTGAGAATTGCTCTGCTGTCTTTTGTTTCAGCTGCTCGAGATCCGTCCGCACACCTCTTGCTACCTCCAGTTGTGTCTGTTTGTTTCATGGGAGAGCGTGAGTCTCTGTTTTTTTTTTTTACCTTTCTGCACATTTGAAAGTGTCATATTGAGGGGGCTGGGTAGTTAGTTTGGTAAAAAAGCATTTTTGTTGGGGAAAAAAAACAGAGATAGAGAAAAAATACTGCTGGGTAGATAAGCAGAGTCAACATTGTTTACAAGACAAGGGTTTGAGCTGGTGGCAAACGGGCCTGCTGTAAAAAATAATCTCTTCAGAGTGTTTTGCAAAAGCAGCCATGTGCCAGAGCAATACTTGCAGCATCGGGTTGAAGAAGGGAAACTTCAAGGTAAGGTGAGACAAATCATCCAGTATGAAAAGCTTTTCTGCCATCATTGAAAGCCAAGTGCACAAAACACACCCAAGCACCTGTTTCACCTAAGACTTCCTAACTTTCTGTTCTACCCCCACTGAAAGACTGAAGGAGCAGAACCTTGTTAGTGTTGAGCAGACTATGAGGGACCTGATACAAGAATTCAAAATCCTCAAGGACACTGAAAAAGTTAACCCACCAGATTTCTTTAGAATGAACAGGGAAACACAAACCAAGAGGAAACAATGTAAAACTGTGTCTAATCAAAAACAGGAGACACTTATTTAAGCAAACGTTTGTGGGAGTATGGAGCAAACTACCCCAGCCAAATTGTTGAAGCCAATGCTTTAAAGTACTCTACTTTTTAAAATTATGATATGTCCTGTTCAGATGTCAAACCAGTGGTTCAATCACAGACAAACTGTGAAATTATAGAGGTAATTATCATGAGCTGAAATGGATTCAAACTCAGGACTGGAAAATAGAATTATGCACTGGTGCAGGCCCTATCCAAAACATTGCATCCTGTTTTAGTCAACACGCTGTGAATAAAAGCATTGCTGTTCCGGCAACACTATTATGAACTTTCCAGAAATACCCCTGTGTGTTTTTAACACCAGAAGGTTGATCTTTTCGTTTCAAACAATGATGACGTCAAGAACATCTGGCTGAGAAATTCAGAATTCCAGAAGGAATCTGGAAAGCGATCCTGAACTGCTTTTCACTCCACACAGACGGCATGACCAGAGTAGCTGGGACATTAGGGAAAGCACATTCAGGAGGTGCTTCCTGAAACAGCAATTTCACCATAAAAGAAGTTACCAAACCACAGTGCAAGAGACATGCTCAAAGCAACCTTTTTAGTTTTCTGAAAGGTTTTATCAACCTTTATTACCTATTTTGAAGCCTGAAGAAGCTGTGCAGTTACATTTGTAACTAATTATACAGCAGGGCATTTTACCAAGAGTGTAGTACTTTGCTCAAGGATGCTAAAGTAATGTCCCACCTAGGATTCGAACCCACGACCTGCCAGTGGCCAGCCCTATTCACCACTCCAGCTAATGCTATAATATCACGCTGGCATGCCTCATAACTTGCACTAGTGTAGAGTAACAGCAAAATAACTGCCGAGCTCATTCTTGTGTCACGGGCGAGGCAACAATTACAGCTCTCTCAAAGGCACTGCAGAGTGTACCCTCTCCGGATCTGGACCAGTTCACTTCCAGAAGATTCATCCTTATACGGCAAGACTCAGACCGTGACATCTGGAGGTCAGGGAATTTAGCAGTTACAATGGAGAGGAGGCCTTTTAACTCATCCAGCTCCCTTGGCTGCTAGGAGCTAATTGAACTCATCCAGCTCATTCTTGACTTGCTCAATACTCTTGTCAGCTGTCTCGCACCACTTGGCCTGGGTTTGAGCTGAGATGGGGGTAGGGCCAATGACCCTTCCAGTACTCCACAGCACCCAGAGAAAAGGCCAGAGAGTGGGGACAGAGGGACAGAGAGGGGGGGGCGAGACAGCAAGGAAAGAGATTAAGGACAGAGGGTTGGAGAGGAAAGACAAAATGCCAGCTTTTCTGGGTTCCCCAGGTGGAGGGGGCAGGCAGAAACGGGGTGAGGGATGAACGCAGGAGGAAATGTGATGTGTCTCCTGCAAAACTGAATTAAGTTGTTGTTTTTTTGTTAATATGATTTGTGTTCCATCTGTCAGGAAAGCAGTTTGAGGTGGGAGCCTGAGCACAGACATGAAGAAACAGCAGGGCACAGGAACTGCCACATAGCTCTGGGGGCACTGTTTATTACCGCACCATGCACGACACTGAGGAAATAAATATTTTAAAAAATTTCCCTGAGATCCCACACCTTCAACCCTTCCGAAAAAAAAGTGTGGATTAACGCAGATGAGTCCCCAATAATTACCGTCTTTCACTTTCACAGCAGCTTTTACCCATTTATCATTCATAGTAATTAGCTGCAAGCAGACGACTTAGGTGTTATCTGAAATTATTGATTATTTATGCTGCAAAATCTTATTACAGGGAAGTTGCAGTATTGTTGCTGTGAAAACAGATTTCACCCAACAGATAGCTTCTCCCAAGAGCCTCATACTACCCAACCCAGAGGAACCCAAGATATAAGAGGTACAAGTGGTCTTGAAATCCACAGAACTGGAATCCACAGAAGAGACGGGGTGAACTGTCCGCAGACAGCTCTAGAAAACTTTAGCCTTCCTTAACTGTGACTCATCATTCTCAGCAAGACAGACCCCTCAGCCAGCACCTCGCAGGGCTAACTGATGCCCTAGGGGACTGCAGTGAGCCAAGAGGATTCAACCCTCAGGCTCTCTGGCAGAGTCAACCCTGACAACTTCTGTCAGCTCGGCGCTGTACACAACCCGCCGGAACAAGTCGAGTCTCTGCGAACATTTCATGGAACGGCTTGGTGAGATCGTAGGATAAGTACGGAAGAGTCACAAAACAAGTGAAGGCCACGCAACACATCGAAAACAAAAAAAGTTTGGTCTGTAGTAGCTGAGTGATCCCTGAGTGTTTTTTGAAAAACTAACCACGTTGAAGGGTAAGTTAGTGACTCATCAAACAATGAAGAGGCTAAACATGCTCTGTTTCATTTGTAAAGGGCTTGAGCCGCACAGACAACAATACAACAGCTGTAGACCTTCTTGAATATGGCTCGCCACACAAGCCGGTCCAATTAGACTAGTGACTTGTGAAAAACTGGAATGAGCTCGTATTATGGCCGGTTGCCAATTTGAGTGCCTGTGTCAACGACATTCACCCCACCTCAGTAAGCCCTTTCAAAGACAGACATCCCATGGAAAGGGGGTGAAAACACTGAAACTGGCTGAGTCTTGTGTTCTATTGGCAGGGGAACCACAGGTGGTAGAGAAGAGCCCTTTTGGTGGCAAAGCTTGGCGGGTATCTCAACACCGGCCTATGGGAGCAAGGGAATACTCACAACTGGACGAAGGAGGCAGGGCTGGAAATCAGACAACATGTTCAGAGAGGGACTCACAGAGATTTGCTACTTCAGGTTGAGCACAAGACACACAGTAACAAAAATCACGATGAAACAGCTCTTCAAGGATGGGAGACGGTCGCTGTCAAACACCAGCAGGCACGGTTTCCAAGTCCTACGGCCGGCGGAAGTCCTACCTGGGATATCTGCGGGAAGAGGCTGATGGCCAGGGGCAGGGCGAGGCCGAAGGAGGCGAGGCACACCAGGCTGTGGACAGGCAGGACCAGTCTCTGGTGGGCCCGGAGCAGAGGGAGCCTGGAGGACACAGGGACACAGCTCTGACCACGCACGTCTGTCGGCCTTTCTCACACGGCCCGCTGCTTCCTCCTTTCTATCACAAATCGCTGGGCTCAGGACCACATGTTTAGTCAACGAGAGTTTATTTTCCGGGTCCCGTAACTCTGTGCGGGCCTGGGCCACGCAGCACGACGGGGGGATCTGGGGCGGGTTTCTGAGCCCACTCGCTCCTTAGCAGCTAGGCCACCGAAACGCACGCAGAGGCCCTTCCTTTGTCTCTCACTCGCCTCTCATGGCGCCCATGGAAGTGTAATTCTGCCTGCATTCATTCTTCTGGTTCGCTTCGTTTTTAATTCTGCCCTCCCTTGCTCTCCCCCACTCTCTCTATAAATATAAATGATTCCTCTCCGCATTGCGCTCTAATTGCTGTCCTGCCCTCGCCCGGCGCTCTCGGGCCGAGCAGCAGCCCAGTCTGAGCTAATCCCCAGCGCTTGTGTGGGTGTGAGCGCACAGCGGGATGCTCACCAAATCCTGCTCGCCTGCCACTAATGCTGCAGCCTAATTAAGGGGAGTTGTGGCTTGATAAAGAAGCTAATTAACACTTAGGGGTGTAATATCTTAATTGGGGGAAAAAATCATGAGGAGAAAAAAAAGTTATGTACAAAAGTGAATTAATCCACAAGAAAAAAAAAACATCTTTATTTCTCACTCTGTGTAGGTGTGTGTGTTCTGGCATTTCTTCTGAGTTTTAATCTTTATGATCAGCAGACGTGAATATAGTGCGAGTGGTGACCCAAACTCTTTCACGAGACAGAGGGGACAGAGGACAGAGGACAGAGGTCCTCCCAGGTCTCAGGTGCCTGCTGCCTCACAGCTGAGGCTGCCCGCAGGTGTGCAGCACCGAAGATACATTTTCATAGCATTGCATGTTCACCATTAGCATAATGCCAGAAAATTGCTATGAGGGCATACTGTGTATCCTCATATTACTGTCCAAAAATAATAGGTCATTTCCATTGAAAAACTCTTTACACCAGCTCGTTTTACCCAAAGTCTGAGTGTGGATAGCAGAAGTTGCACTTACCGGTTCAAACAAGATGCTATTGCACTAGTGAACCTAGAGAAAATGCATCCTTCCTGAAGCAACACTTTAAAAGCCATGCCAGCAAAAGCCAGGCAGAGGTTGCTCAGGCTGAGCACTGTCCTCCAAAACCCAATGGTCCGGCAACACGCCCTAATCAGGGACTGTGGGCGCCAGCAGAAACGGAGCTCACTCCACAGCCCTGTGAGGCAGCCTTGTGGTGGTGTACAGAGGGTTCAAACCCAGAGCAGGAAGAAAAGGGGTGAAACTCCATGAACTCTGGAAACAGGGAATGTCTTGGTGAGCTAAGATGGGCTCCGTGTTTTTCTGGATGGAAGTCAGAGATACGTCAGGAACCACAGCATCTGGAACCCTCAGAACACAAAGAAGGGCAACTTCATGACAAGTACGTGACAGCAAGCGTGGTGTTTGTCCAGTACTGTCATCTTGCTGCTGCCAATGCCAACTACTTGCTGCAAACAACTGGCTTCTACTGTACACTAATGTTTTAGGCAAGAAACAGGAAAATGCAACAGCTCCTACCATTAAAAAAAGCAATAGTCACCAAGATGTTAAGAAGATTCTTTCCTAATATAAAAATCATTCTACGTAAAAAGGAAACCAGATATATCTGGTAGCTCAGATTCCTGGTCTAGTTCTGCTTCTAAGGGTAGTGGATGTTTTTAACAGACCTTCTTCGAGTCTCGCTGACAGTGTGACACTCCTCTCCTCATCGCTGTCATTAGCCCTGCCTGCTTGTCAGCACTCTAATCCATCTCGGAGGGCAAACACGTCAGCCACGCTCCATTGAGAGCCACTGAGAGTGAACGGGCTAGGGAGTCCACAGTCACCCTGCCGGCTGCCCTGCGGTTTTCAGTTTCATGCAGAAAAAAAACCGACAACAAAGAAACCTTCAAAAAGGTACGTGTTTCACAGTGCTCCCCACCCACATCAGAAACCTGCAGGTCGGGTGGAAGAGGAGAGTCCCCTGTGCTTTCCTGGGCCATGTGTATGGGGGCGTTTAGGCAAAGTGCTGTGAGTGTTGTGGGACAGAATGGGCTCTGGTGAAGAGCTCATGATCACGGGCGTCCCAGGCCTCGTTCCAACGCGAGCACGAACCACAGCTGCCATCTAGAACACGCGGGCCCGTGAGGAGGCTGGAATTCGCCAGTACTCATCTCCGTGGGCTGGAACGTGAAGGGTTTGAGGAGACGGGACACGTACTTTTCCAGGAAGGCCATGACGAGGGGAGGCAGGACGAGGATGGGCATGGGCAGCACCACGCGGGTCAGGGCGGTCTCCAGCAGGGCCTGCGGACGGCAGGGGGCCATGAGGGATGCAGTAGACACACTAACGCTCTCGCTGCTGAGCCTGTTCCTGTCCAGTGTCTTTTTTAAATGAACAGGAATGACTCTTCCAGCATGATCCTTTCAGTGCAAAACAACATCCTGCCCACACCCTTGTTCTCTTCTTAAACCCAGTATTAACTCTCACTAACCCTCTGACTAACCCTCACCTCAACCACAGCGCTTTACCCAAATCTGACCTGAACTCCAGCTGTAGTCCCAAACCCTACAGTAAAACTAACCTCAAAACCAGGCTTGCAATTAACTCTAAACCAACACTAACTTTAGTCCTAGCCCATTCATCAGTGCTGTCCAGTCCAGTTTCTAGTGGGCAGCTAAGTTTGCAGTTTGCAGCTCTTAGTGACCTAAATCAACTGATTATTTTGTTTATTTGTACCAATTGATGGATTTCAATTTTTAGATGCTGTTGTTTGAAAAAATTGTAGAAAGTGTGCAGATACTAGCTCTATCTTCAGATGTAACTCTCTGCTAACTTTAATACCAACAACTAATGACAATTCAAACCATAAAACTAACCATAACTTCACCTCAAGACCAGACATGAACCTTAGTCTGAAAATTTACCCGATTCATCAACCTAAATCTAGTTATATTAATATTTCTACCCTTAAACCCAATGCTAGCTCCAAAATTACACTTAAAGCAGTTCCTAACGTTAACTTTAATGCCAGCCCAAACTACCCAACAATAATTCAAGCCGGACCCAATACGAGCTCTAACTCTAGTCACAACCCCAGCCCCAGTCCTCACTAGGGACCGTTCTCACTTGTATCTACATACACATTTTGCAGCAATTTTGGAAGAGCCCACGATGTTTCCACTGGAGTCCCTCACATCGATCCCTTCTGCCAGCTCGGTGTGCCTCATCAGCACCACGTTGCAGATGTTGGCGCTGGCTGTAGACGGGCAGGAGACAAGATGGTTAGTGCTGAGAGAGACCTCCAGGACATCTTCTGATCGCTTTACAGTACCTCTTTGTGTGACCTGTGATGGACAGGTGTCCAATCAGGGTGTAATTGAATGAAGAGAGCCCTGTGATGGACTGGAGTCCCAACAGGATGTAATTGTTGAAGCAATTACATCAATTACACCCTGCTGAGACAGCAGTTCAAACTGTACCAACATGAGAAAACAGTGACTTTTCAGGAAAACTGGAGAAATCTAAGAAATCGGGAATGGATTTTAGAGCTGCCATATGCAGCATATCAGCATAACTCTATCACTCTATCCTGTTTACCAATTTGATCAATAAAAAGAAATTAAACTTATCACAATAATTTCACCAAAATTAAAACATTCTGGTATTATACAAGCTTCAAACACCACCAACATTTTAATCACCTCAATTAATATGATAATAAACCTCTTTGGAAATAAAGTAAAAAATAGCAGCACCACTCTACCTTGATGCCAAAACCACAGAAGAGTAATTACCCAGTGAGTCTCTGGTAACCTCGACTGAACATTATGCCAATTATGAGACAAATTGCATGGGAAAGCAGAAAAGCAAGTGCTGTTGATTTAATTAGGAGTTGGGCAAACAATTTAATTACTGCCATTGAGCTGGGGTTATAGTCCTGGGAAAAAAACGAATGCCACTGGGGGCGGAGAGGTGTGATAGGAAGGGAAAGGGAGAGTGTGGGTAGGCAGGCAGGCAGGTGGAGACAGTACCGAGGCCCTCGGCTCCAATATTATCTTCACAGGAGGCAGCTCAGTGAGATTCATGCTCACGAAAAGGTATTACTACATGAACCCAACCACAAAGGCACTGCGACTGCTTTCAAGTACGAATGACATAGTAAGAACTGGGCCATCCTGGA